TGTACCCCATATGTGCTACCCCACTATAGCCTACAACAACTATGTCATATAAATCTGACAAGGAGTAGCGCGCAACTACAGCGTCGTACAAGGTCTGGGCACTCTTGTACTGGCTAAAGTGCGCGCGCTCAGCGATAGGCAAGTGGCGACGCACAGCAAGACGTGCAGCAGCATCGCGCGTGGCCCACTGTGAGCGAACAGAGGCGTCAGCATCAGCAGCAGGGGAAGGGACGGCGCCAGAGGTGAGGTCAAAGAGAGACAGACCGTCCGCCCTATCGCACTGTAAAAACAGCTGCAGGTCGTCGAGCCAGACCTTGAAGTCTATGGCTCGACCCTCAGCGTCAAAAGCGAGGACACTAGGGGTAGCCATGACGACGACAGTGAAGCAGTGCAAGCAGTAGGGGAAGGGCACGCAGTGATAGCGGTACAGTGCTCACCGGGCAGGGCAGGTCGGGCGGCTCGGTAGAAAGGCGGCTCGGCTACTCAGCGACTCGGCTCCCGGGCGGCTCGGCTCCCAGGCGGCTCGGCGGTAGGGCGGCTCGGGCGGGGCGGCTCGGCTGCCGGGCGGCTTGGGTGCAGGGCGGCTCGGCTGCACTGCTGCTTGGCGGTCCGGCGGCTCGGCTGCTGCAGTTGGGCGGCTCGGCTGCTGCAGGTGGGCGGCTCGGCTGCTGCAGTTGGGCGGCGCGAGAGCAAGGGGCGGCGGGGCCGTGAGTGCTGGGGCGGCGGGGCCGCGAGACCAGGGGCGGCGGGGCCGCGTAGCACGGGCGGCGGGGCCGGGAGCGCTGGGGCGGCTGGGCCGCGTATCAGGGGCGGCGGGGCCGGGAGCGCTGGGGTGGCGGGGCCGGAAGCGCTGGGGCGGCGGGGCCGCTAATCAGGGGCGGCGGGGCTGTGAGACCAGGGGCGGCGGGGCCGCGAGACCAGGGGCGGTGGGGCCGCGTAGCACAGGCGGCGGGGCCGGGAGTGCTGGGGCGGCGGGGCCGCATATCAGGGGCGGCGGGGCCGGGAGCGCTGGGGCGGCGGGGCCGCGTATCAGGGGCGGCGGGGCCGGGAGCGCTGGGGCGGCGGGGCCGCGTATCAGGGGCGGCGGGGCCGGGAGCGCTGGGGCGGCGGGGCCGCGAGATCAGGGGCGGCGGGGCCGTGAGCGCTGAGGCGGCGGGGCCGTGAGATCAGGGACGGCGGGGGCCGCGGGCGCTTGGGCGGCGAGGCCGCTAAGGCGGCGCGAGGGCGGGCAGCGTGGCGCGGGCTCTAAGGCGGCGCTCGGGCTGCTAGGGCGGGCGGCTCGCTAAGGCGGCGCTCGGGCCGTTAGGGCAGATCGAAAAAAAAAAAAGTAAGAGCAAGGGCCCGGAGCGCGTTCCGGGCAGAAAAAAAAGGTTCGATGTGGTGGGCCCTAAGCACAGTTCCCACGGGGGAACCTGCTCTGATACCATGAGAAAGTTAGAACGAGAATGAATGAACTATGAAATGAAGTGAGTACAAGTATGAAACCCTAATTGGGTTGTACCCCCTATGGGATACCCCACTATAGCCTACAAAAAATGAGTAAGCTATAATGTTCTGACAGTGCGGAGAGTAAAGCTCAGTGCTCACCAGACAGGGCAGTGCAGGCGGCTCGGGCGGCTCAGGCGGCTCGGCGGCTCGGCTGCTGGGCGGCTCGGGCGGCTCGGCGGCTCGGGCTGCTCGGCTGCAGGGGCGGCTCGGGTGCAGGGGCGGCTCGGCTGCTGGGGCGGCTCGGCTGCTGGGGCGGCTCGGCTGCTGGGGCGGCTCGGCTGCTGGGGCGGCTCGGCTGCTGGGGCGGCTCGGCTGCTGGGGCGGCTCAGCTGCTGGGGCGGCGGGGCCGGGAGATGCAGCTGCGGGGCCGGGAGATGGAGTGGCGGGGCCGTCAGGGGCAGTGGCGGTGCCGGTAGGTGAAGCGGCGGGGCCGTCAGGTACAGCAGCGTGGCCGGCAGGTGAGACGGCGGGGCCTGCAGATGAGGCGGCGGGGCCGGCAGGTGCAGCAGCGGGGCCGTCAGGGGTAGCGGCGGGGCCGGTAGGTGCAGTGGCGGGGCCGTCAGAGGGGACGGCGGGGCCGTCAGGTGCAGCAGCGGGGCCGTCTGAAGCAGCGGCGGGGCCGGCAGAGGGGACGGCGGGGCCGTCAAGTGCAGCGGCGGGGCCGGCAGCGGGGACGGCGGGGCCGTCGGGTGCAGCGGCGGGGCCGGTAGAGGGGACGGCGGGGCCGTCGCAGGCGATCGCGGGGCCGTCAGAGACGGCGCCGGCGTCGCGAGGGTCAGAGGGGGCGGCGCGCGACTGGAGGGCGGCACGCGCGACGCGGCGCGGCCGTCTGGGGCGGCGCGACGTGGCCGCGTAGGTGGCGCGCCAAAAAATCGAGGGTGGCTCGACGCGATCGGGCCGCCAAAGGAAAAAAAAAAGGCCGAGCGCGACTCGGGCTAGGGCAGAGCGCGCTCCGGGCAGGACGGAATAGTAGGTGGGCCCTAGGAACAGTTCCCACTAGGGAACCTCCTCGATACCATGTTGAGATAGAGGCGAGGAATGGTGCACTATGGAATGAAAGAAGTACAAGTACCAACCCTAATTGGGTTGTACCCCTTATGGGCTACCCCACTACAGCCTACATATATGCATCAGCAATATATAATCATCTAACAGAAACCGACGGACAGACAGAACGGACAAATCAGACCATGGAGCAGCTGATTCGAGCCACGTGCGACGATCCGAACACATGGGAACAGCAGCTGCCTCTCATCGAGTTTGCGTACAACAACGCGCCATCCGCCACAACCCAACAGTCGCCATTTTATTTGAACTACGGACAGGACCCAACAGTACCCATGACACCGAATCCCGACAATCCCGTTCCACGCGCACAATAGTTCGCCGAGATTCTGCAAGCAGCACGGACCAGGGCAGCAGAAGCAATCAAAAAATCAAATATCATCGCTAAACGCAACGCCGATCGCCACCGCAGACCCGTCACTTATCAGCCCGACGACCTCGTGTTACTCGACACTCAAAACCTCCGCCTGCCCATCACTCCAAAACTCCGCCCTCGATACTGTGGGCCATTTCGAATTAGCCACATGATCACACCCGTCACTGCGCACCTCCTCCTCCCTGCTGACTGGTACGTCAGCCCCTCGTTCCACGTCAGTCTGCTTCGCCCGTACGTCCCATCCACCAGCCAACTCCCACGACATCGGCCATCCAGCATGACACGACCACCAACCGAACCAGTCATCACCCCCGAAAAAATCTTGAGCCACAAAGTTCGTGACCCCCGCGGAGCCCGAAAAGTTGAGTTTCTGATCCGCTGGAAAGATCGTACACCCACCGAGGACAATTGGGTTCCCCTGGACAGAATTGAAAACCACCCCGTCCTCACCGAGTACCTGCGCAGCCGAAACTTCAAAGATGTCCACGCACTTTCGTAAACGGGACCTCCTTAGGGGGGGGGGGTAGTGTAAGGAAAATCCCTTTTCCTTACTTCGCATCCCTGCTCATCGCGTAGATCACTGTAGCACCTCAGTCAGCACCGTTACGACTCGCGACCATCGCATCGACACTCATCCCGCCATTTTCGCACATCGCACCCCGACCTCACGGCTCGGCGGGTAACCCGCGCTCCGGGCCTACGCTTCGACATATTCCCGAACCTCAGTCCCAGGCTCGTCGCGCGACAACCACAGTTCATTACCGTTACCACTGTAGTTTCGCTATATATTCTTCGCTCATGCCTTCGCTCATTGTACTCTTGCTTCGATAATGCAATTCTCGTTCGTTCACTCAATTGCACTCGTAACATTTGGATTTTCACTACTCGGATTTCCAGAGCTGTTTTATAGAGAACTCTGAAATTCAGGGTTCATTATGAGCGTTACTCTGATTTGTCAGAGAAAACTTCTGAAAAAGACACTCCGGGCACATTTTGTACCTATCTTTCCAAGTTGAGCGTCCTCTCAAGTATTGAACCCAGGCCTTCTGCACTCCCACCGTAAAACATTAGCATTAGGCTATGCGCCCACAACACACTTCGATTACGTTTGTAAATATCCCTTTTTAGTTTTAACAATTGAGGGGAAGAGGGGGGGGCTGGCGGGGTCGGTCGAAATGCCTATACCCTGTACAGAGAAAAGTACATCCACCACAAATATACACTGGTCTCTGAGAGAAGCTAAAATCAGAACCCTGACAAATCAGAGAAAACTTATCCTCCAAAAAAATTACCCAGACACGTTAGAGTGACCCCCTGAAAACTACTCTGATTTTCAGAGAAACAGAGTAATTTACTCTGATAAAAAAAACCCTATTCCCAACCCTAATTCAGACATTCCGTTGCGTTCCTACTTTGAGAAATGGACAATCAATTCGCTTGGCGAACATGAGCATCTGTATTTAAAATCTAGATGCTCGGCAGATGTGCCATTTGGTTGGCATTTGCTACTACCGTATAGTTCCGGCTAGAAGACCCGGGGGACTCTCTAGAATTGCTTGAAAAACTGCTAGGGTGGACATCTTGGTGGTTGCAAATTTTTAAGACCCGGGGTACACCTATTTGTCTATTAACATTAATGGATTTACCATGTACAGTCTCGGTAGGGGGGGGGGGGGGTCTTTTATTTTTTTCGTCGAAATCCCTCGCTTAGCGCAGCACGTGCGTGACGTCGCCCACAACACGCGGCAACGTACAAGGCGCGAAGGCGCATTGAGCCCCACAAAACACGCACCGCACATCATCTTGACGGAATCGACCGTCAATATTGGTTTAGTCACGGGGCCTTCAAGCAGCCCATCTCATCTCAGAGGTAGGAGGGGCACGGGACGTGGAGCACTAGGGTTTCACGTCTCCACCCTGCCGAGCACGGGAGCCCTGGTGGTTCAGTTCGCTCTGTTTCGTGTCTCAGATCCAATTCTGCCTCCCTTGCTTCTTTCCCGACTACAAAGAACACTATGGCAGCTGCCACTGAAGCAATCAGTTGCCGGTAGAAGAGCATCAGCTTCGTTCAATGTCTGTTCACGAGAGCCCATGGCGTTCGCGGCGTTCAAACTTATCGGTAGGCAGTTTGTTTGGCCAGCATGCTGTCGTGCTCATCACAAGCCCGTCCCCACCAGCTCCTCCTGCGCCTCCTGCGCCCCCTGTGCTTCCCTCGGGCGTGGTCGACTGGCGCAACAACCCTCCGTTGGACCCTGTCATGAACGAGGGGTTTTCCCAACCTGCCGCCGCTTGGGATGAGGACATGGCGGGTGATGATGAGGTGAACCACGACGTCGGCAATTTCCCGATCCCGTCGTTTCCGGAGGATCTCATGCACGACGAGAACGGTCCGCAGTCCAGAGTCGACGGTGTGCCATCGAGTCCCCGCGCTCGCACAAGTAAACACAGTCGCAAGGCCCGTACGATGGGTGAGAAACAAGATTGGCTCGCGCGGATGGAGGCGGAGAAACTATCCGTCCGCCTCACGGCACGTCTCGCGGGGGTGCAACCGGTCAGTGTCCGCCGGTGGATTCGGGTGGCGGATCGGATTACAAACGCGGAGCGCTCCAGGCGGCGCCTCAGCGGTGGCGGGAGGAAGGCTAAGTACCCCGACATGGAGGCGCACACCTACAAACGCATGCTCAACTTCCGTGGCCGTGGCTTGGCCGTGCCGATTCGCCTCATCAAGCACTGGAGCAGGGTCTACATGAAGGCCCACTACCCGGACGTGAGGTGGATGGCGTCCAACAGGTGGTCGTACCGCTTCCGCGCGCGCCTGGGACTCTCCATCCGCGTGAAAACGAAGATGGGGCAACGTCTCGCAAAAGGCAAGACGCTCATGTGCATTTTATACCCTCTTAGTGCATCCTCTCTGTGCTGTTGTGCATATGACATCGAGGGTATACCGAAGCCCGTGGCTCATGCACATGAATCTTATCTTGTGCGTTCGTGGCAGAGTGCAAGCCGAAGTGCCTGGAGTTTTGGGAGTTCACCCGCAAGAACATTATCAAGCACGGCATCGACTCGTGGAACATCATTAACGCCGACCAAACGCCCGTGTTTTTGGAGATGCCGAACGAGCGCACCCTTCATCACCGCGGAGAGAAGACGGTGCACGTCAGGAGCGCGGGGTATGAGAAGGAGAGGGTTACGGTGATGCTTGGCATCACCGCTGACGGCCGCAAACTCCCTGCCATGGTGATTTTTAAGCGCAAGACAACCCCGAAGATTCGGGTGCCTGCAGGTGAGTCTAAACCGTTAAACAGGTTCCCGCTTGTGCGTGTTTGGGGGCGATGTCTAACCACGCTTGACGTTCATGTGCAGGAGTCGTCATCCGCGCACAAGCCAAGGGATGGATGGACGCCAAGCTAGTCGACGACTGGGTGAACAACATTCTGCTGCCGTTCATCAAGCCCCCGCGTGACATCCGACGGTCCAAGACCCTGTTGGTCCTGGACTCGTACCGAGGTCATCTCACCGATGGGGTGCTCACCAACTTGAAGTGGAACCGGGTGATCCCGGCCATCATCCCAGGGGGCTGCACTCCTCTGCTGCAGCCCCTTGACGTGAGCGTGAACCGCTCATTCAAGGCGCTGCTGCGTGAGATGTACAACGAGTGGTTCGCCGAGATCGGCATCAACACGTTCACGAAATCCGGTGAGTGGGCCGGTTACGCGTGTGCTTGTTCTAACCTGTGTGTGCCGAGTCTAACTTCATGTCTCCCCATGTGCTTCTTTCTCTGTGTACCCTGTGCGTGGCAGGGAACTTGAAGAAGCCCCCAGTTGAAACGGTGCTCAAGTGGATTGCGGCGGCTTGGGCGGCGGTCCCCGAACACATCATTGAGAAGGCGTTTCTCACCACCGGAATCAGCAACTCTGTCGACGGGAAGCAGGATCACCTTGTCCTGGCCCACATGCGCGATGCGGGCGAGGTCGAGGTGGCAGAGGACGTGCACGTCGCACCTGAAGTGGAGGAGTGGGTGAACCCCCTGTACGCAACCGCCGCAGATGACGAGGAGGCGGCAAAGGTGGCGGATGCCGAGGATGCCGGGGACCTCCCTGAGGAGGAGGAGGAGGAGGAGGAGGAGGAGGAGGAGGAGGAGGAGGAGGAGGAGGAGGAGGATGAGGAGGATGAGGAGGAGGACGCAGAGGAGGAAGATGACGAGGAGGAGGCATGGGATGAGGAGGAGGCAGGGGACGAGGAGGAGGAGGAGGATGAGGAGGAAGGTGGGCTGGAGGAGAATGCGGATGATGAGTGAGGAGTATGGGAGTGGCAGGGTTGTGGTATGGGCCTTTCAGGAGTGAAAGATGCTAGATTTGCTACTTTGATCTTGTAATGTCTAGATTTAGGGTAAAGTCAGTGAAGCAATGTGTGTGTAACTTTAACCATCTAGTTTACCAGATTGAAAAGGGCACTTTAGGGAAGGGGGGGGGTCTTATGATGATTTACGGCCAAAGGGGGGTCCTCACAATATCTGCCACAATAAGAGTCCCCCTACCCGTTCAAGAGTCCCGGGGGACCTTCTTACCGGCGGGTCTTCTAGCCGGAACTATACGGTATGTTATTATGCAGCAGAGTCAGCCAATGTTTGCCTTAGCCAGGGACTTGCATGTGATGACACCGCTTGCCACCCGCATTGGTTTGTCCAGAAGTGTAGCAACGCAATCCTCTGTGGTCTTGAGCTGTGGCTGCACAGCCTCCCATATCTTCTTCTTCTGGAGCTGCCAGGGAAACACGATGGCAGCAAAGGGAGATGGAAGCCTCCAATAACGTGACGATCAAATGCCTCATGGGGGGCCACTGATACTGATTGCACTGATGGCGATGATGAGACGACACTGATGGCAATGATGAGACGACGCTGACAAAGAGCAGAAGTGAAACACGAGGAGGCAATGGCAACCAGTTGGAGTTGGGGGCAAAGAGTGAGCCAGGCGATAAACGCCATGTAAGGGAAATTATGCGTTCCCAGCCTCCACGCTCTACCACTGGCAACAACCCCCTTTCTCTACCACTGACCACAACCCCTTCCTACCTCAGCAACCGTTCCATGTCTCCGCTCTCTACACACCTGGTTTGGAGTGGCAGCAGCAGCTTGCGAGGCAACGTCAGCCTCGGCGCCGAACCAGATGCGCTCGCCCGGCGCAGCTTCGGCGGGCGGCGAGAGGAGCTGGACGTTCTCGTGGGCGTCATCGGAGGCAGCGAGCAGCATGCCGTTGGACTTGACGCCCCTCATGTTGCGCGGCTTTAAGTTCGCCAGCACCACCACCAGCCGATCCTGGGAGAACAAAGGGGGCGGGGGGGAGGGGAGAAGGTGGGGGGATGGGGTGGAACGTGGCGGGTTGGGGGAAGGAGAGGAAGAGAGAGGAAGAGGGTGAGGTTGCATTTGGATCTGACGCTGCCCGACTTCACGCTCGCCAGCACCACCACCAGACAATCCTGGGGGGTGGAGGGGGGAATGGGGAGGGGTTGGGTGGAGGAAGGAGGAGAGGGGGAAGGAGAGGATGAGTTGGTGTTTGAACTTGACGGCCCTTGTGTTGCATGGCGTCACACTGCCAACACCACCTTGTGTTGCATGGCGTCACACTGCCAACACCACCTTGTGTTGCATGGCGTCACACTGCCAACACCACCTTGTGTTGCATGGCGTCACACTGCCAACACCACCTTGTGTTGCATGGCGTCACACTGCCAACACCACCTTGTGTTGCATGGCGTCACACTGCCACCACCACCAGACAATCCTGAAACGGGCGGAAACGAAGGGAGAGGTGGGGTGGGAAGAGAGGGGAAAAAGGGTGGAAGACAGGATTGTTTGATGGGGATGACGACCCTCATGTTGTTCCCCTCGGGGTAAACTAGGCGTTCGCTGCGTCAGGGCACTTTCATGTCCTCTTTGTGATTCATTCAATCGGTTCATCATACCTACCACCCGACTGCCATCCTATCGCGAACCACTCACCTACACGGCCTCACCTGCATGTCCGCCTCACCTGCATGTCCGCCTCACCTGCATGTGCGCCTCACCTGCATGTCCGCCTCACCTGCATGTGCGCCTCACCTGCATGTCCGCCTCACCTGCATGTGCGCCTCACCTGCATGTCCGCCTCACCTGCATGTGCGCCTCACCTGCATGTCCGCCTCACCTGCATGTGCGCCTCACCTGCATGTCCGCCTCACCTGCATGTGCGCCTCACCTGCATGTCCGCCTCACCTGCATGTGCGCCTCACCTGCATGTCCGCCTCACCTGCATGTGCGCCTCACCTGCATGTCCGCCTCACCTGCATGTCCGCCTCACCTGCATGTCCGCCTCACCTGCATGTGCGCCTCACCTGCATGTCCGCCTCACCTGCATGTCCGCCTCACCTGCATGTGCGCCTCACCTGCATGTCCGCCTCACCTGCATGTCCGCCTCACCTGCATGTCGGCCTCGGGAATGTATTTGACGAGGCCGCTGCAGATGGTGCGCGGGCCGCCCTCCTCGCCCACGTCCACCTCCTCCACGTACAGGCTGTCCGCCTCGGGGTGCTTCCACGCCCGCACCACCCGCCCCACGCGCAGCTCCAGGGCCTCGGCGAGGCTGCACACATCTGCCACGGGCATGCGAGGGTTGAGAGAAACGAAGGAGAATCGTTGCACACGCTGTCCGCCTCGGGGACCTTCCACGCCCTCACGATGCGCCCCACGCGCAGCTCTAGGGACTCCGCCAATGTGCAAACATGTGGGAAGGGGTTTGAAACAGCGAAACAATGGAGACTCGCGTTACGAGCTGTGTGCCTCGGGGTGATTGCACACGCGCACCACGAGCGTAGCTCGTCGCCATTCCGATACAAAACTGCCGCCGTGATTAACCTACCAGGACCGGTGGCCGTAGGAGCGGCTACATCTGAAGCAGCAGCAGCTACAGCCACGGCGCTATCAGCTGATCCCTCAGCGGCAGCGCTAGCCGACACGGTATGCGAGGCCCGCCTGCTTCCATCCGATTTTCGTGACGCGCGCGGAAGCAAGCTGGCGGATGAGGACTGCAGCGAGGCGGACTGCAGAGATGCGGAGGCGGCAACACGCGGAAGTCGCGCGGTCAGGGCGGCGCGCAGCGAGGCGCTTGTAACCGCGACGGCCATTTATGATATTTAGGCGGAAGAGCGACGAGGGCTGATCGGAGTACCAGACGGACGCGCGTGGCTGTTAGGCACTCACGAGTTGCGATGAAACTGCTCGGTTTTCTCAAAACCGAATGCGATGTTCGGGAGTGTGAAGGCAGTTTGGCGAGATGTGAACTGTGGAATCTGCAATGCCTTCGGTAGTCGAGTGAAGTGGCAGGAGCATATGGAAGGAGGGGCGTGAGCTTGCCACGTTGCAGCATGTAGGATAAACCTTGGTGTTACGGGTGCAATGAATCGAGGTAGCGAGAATTGCACTAAGGTGTCAAACGAGTACAAAATGTGAGCGAAGGCATGAGCGAGCATTTATACGCGAAACATGCAAAACGGTAACGCGGCGCGTGCGAACTTGCTAGTGCTACGCTGGAGCGAGGCTCGGGCTAGTCCCGAAGCGTAGGCCGATACGGCCATGCCAGCAGTGCGAGGTTTGGCAAAACAGTGCGCGCGAAGTCGGCGAAGTTCCGTTAGCAGTAACGGGCGAACAGTCGGCTGTTGCTGTACGCGATGTAGTCGGCTCCGTAAGGAATGCCCGAGAAAATTCCTTACACTACCCCCCCCCCTTAAGAAGCCCCCTCCGCTACGCGAGTGCGTGTATATCGCGGAATCCCCGGCTTCTCAAGTACACTTGCAGGGCAGGGTGATTTTCGATGTTGCTCAGGGGTACCCAGCTATCTTCAGTTGGCGTGCGGTCTTTCCAGCGAACGAGGAATTCAATCCTCCTGATTCCCGTGGGGTGGCGGATCCGATGGCTCAAAAGTTTTTCGGGCTCGATGATCGGCTCTGATGCAGGGCGAGTCATTGATTGTGGCCGGTGACGCGGCAGTTGACTCGTGGTCGGGATGTATGGGCGAAGTAGGCTGACGTGGAACGAAGGGCTGATGTACCAGTCAATTGGCAACAGTAGGTGCGCGGTGACAGGTGTGATCATGTGACTGATTTGGAATGGTCCACAGTAGCGCGGTCGTAATTTTGGTACGTCGGGCAGTCGCAGATTTTGCGTGTCGAGTAGCACGTAATCTCCAGATTGATACGTGACGGGGCGGCGGTGGCGATCAGCGTTGCGCTTAGCGATGACGTTGGCCTTTTTTATGGCTTCGGCGGCTCTGGCGCGGGCAGCTTGCAGGATTTCGGCGAATTGTTGTGCGCGTGGCGTTGGGTTGTCCGGACTCGGCGTCATGGGCACTGTGGGGTTCTGCCCATAGTTCAGGTAGAACGGGGACTGCTGCGTCGTGGCTGATGTGGCGTTGTTGTACGCGAACTCGATCAGCGGCAGCTGCTGCTCCCAGGTCGTGGGGTCGTCGCACGTGGCACGAATCAACTGCTCCATCGTCTGATTCGTCCGCTCCGTTTGGCCGTCGGTCTCGGGGTGGTACGACGAACTGAACTGTAGCCTGGTCCCGAACTGCTCCCAGAGGTTCTTCCAGAAGTTGCTGGTAAACTTCGTGTCCCTGTCGCTGATAATTGCTGCTGGTATCCCGTGCAGGCGAACAACGGCTGCGATGAACAGGCGAGCGGTCTCTTCGGCTGAGATCGACTTTTTGCACGCAGCGAAGTGTGCCATCTTCGTCAACCTATCCACGACGACCATCACCGCGTCGTTACCCCCAGGGTTCGAAGGTAACCCTGTGACGAAGTCCATGGTTACTTGCTGCCAGGCGCGTTCGGGCGGTGGGATCGGCTGCAATTGACCCGCCTTCCGCTTCCTTGAACTCTTCATCACCTGACACGTCGGGCACGAGCCCACGTGCTGCTGTACGTCGGTCAACAGCTCCGGCCAGTAATAGTACCGCTGCAGTTGCTGTCGTGTTTTTTCTACCCCGAAATGTCCCGAGGTAATCCCGTCGTGTGCCTCCTGCAGTAGCAGCTCCCTCAGTAGTGAGTACGCGGGTACCCAAATGCGGTTGGTGCCTGTTTTTACGTAATAAACTCCTTTTGCTTCTGCCAGTTGCTTTGAATTTCCGGTCGTGAAAAATGGGTCGGTGCGGTATCCGTGGGTGAATAGGCCAGTTAAAAGCGGGTTGGTCTGGGCGAGTAGGATGGCGTGGAGTTGGGCGGTGGGGCGGGTGAGAGCGTCGGCGATGTTGGATGCTCCTTTTT